TTCCTCGATTCTTGATAATCCTCCTAGGCGTCTGAAAAGGAGATGGTCTCGTGATCTTCTTACTTAAAATTATTTAGAGGGTGCTACCACTGGGTAGTATCTCTTGAAGCCTGTACATGCCATTATTTATATTTCGCATATTTACTAGTTGTATTTGTATACAGTTGTAAATTTCATTAAATAAAAAAAAAAAAAAAATACAAATGAAAATTTTGACGGCTTGGCAAATCTTTTTCATTTAATTTATTATAACCTGATTGTTTATTCCGCAATACAGAAACACGTAACAGAAAATGGGATTATTACAAATCAGTTTTTTTTTTTTTTTTTTTTTTACTCATTTATTTAGTCCATATTATAACCAGTAAATGGAACTTCCGAGGTTTACTAGATATCGTCGTTATTAATTAATCTCTCCAAACCAGTGACCGTAGCGGCCTTCCAGCAGTGCTGCGAAGAGCAGAGAGAACTCTAACTATTGGTCGTGGAATGGCCTTTTGACCCGGCGGAAGCATGGACTGGAACTAATAGGCGTCGAGAGGTCAAAGACGAAGTGGGGTCATAGATCAGCTAACTCCATCTACTAATTGAATCAGCATTCGTCCCAGTTACTCCCATCAATTGACGGTGTCGCCTTTCAATTGTCGCTCGCACTCACTTAATCTGTGTGTATAGGCAGGCCCACGCGTTTATCTCTGTCTCTCTCTTTCTCTCTCCCTTCCTCTCTCAATGTATATATATATATATATATATATATATATATATATATATATATATATATATATATAATGTATGTATGTATGTATATATAAAGATATATATTTAATATACGCGTTTTGAGGTGCCGTATGTCTAATTAACTAAATTTTGCAATATGGTCTATGTGTGTGTGAAGAGCATAGCTCGAAAACGTCATACTAAACTGAAATTACGTGTTCAAGATCAGCATATTCCTCTTATATTACAGCCATTATTTCCTCCAAATGGACTAACCGGAAGTGACACTATATATGTCGAATTTACACAATTTTACAACTTTCTCAAAGGCAGCTATAACTGTTTTGAGTAAACTTGTAATACCGATGTAAAATCAAGTGGTCTTTAATGTGCCCCATAGAAATAGTTCGACATGGCTTGATTTTCAAAGTTTCTTCCTCTGAATTCCCTTTCACATAGTATATAATTAATTGTTTCATATTGTAACTATTAGTGAAATATAGTTAAATATGAAAAAAGAAAAATTGTATTATTAACTCAGGTAAAAATAAGAGTTAAGATGACAACTAAGCCTACGGAAACAACCAACCTTTGCCGATCCTTCATCATTTACAAATACCGGATACCGGTCTGGTTCCATACAAACTTTTTAGCGTACTTAGTTTAACTATTATATTCTAATTACTTTCAATTTTTCAAATAATTTTCAAAAAAATATATACACGTGAAATGATGATTTCTACTATTCTATATCTAATATATACATGGTACACTAATATTAAAACATTCTTTAACTATATAAAGCTCAGATTTTTTCTAAGAGGTACACTTTTTCTCACTTTTATTATTATTATTAAATATTAAATACAGTCTTAAAAGGAAGTGGATTGTGGCACAAAATTATAAATTTAACAGATTCGATGGGTTGGAAAACTTAGTAATTAATGATACGACAATGCCTATTTTTACTCTAAGCAGGGTGATTAGTAGAACTTGTGCGATACGTGTTTACATATGTCATCGAATTAATACATTTTTCCTATTTTCTCTAAGGCGGCTAGAACGATTTTGATTAAACTCATATCGTTGTAAAATCAAGTGGTCTTTAATTTAATGCAGGGCTCCATAGGTTTGGCAGGGCTTGATTTTCAAAGTTTCTTGCTCTGAAGTTCCTTTAGAATTATAAATAATTAATTACTCGTTTCGAATTGTAACTAGCAATAAAAACTAATTAAATATAGACAATGAAAAAATTGTATTATTAACTACGGTAACAGCCGAGAGCGTCCGATCTTTGCCGATCCTCATTTATAAATACCCCATACCGGTCTGGCCCCGTACATATTTTTCTAATACTTAGTTTAAATATTATATTTCACTTACCCATAAGTTTCAAAAAAGATTTTCGCGAGAAATGATGAGTTATACTATTATATATTTAATAATATATGGTTTACTAATATTAACAGATTTTTTTTCCGAAAGGTATACTTTTTCTCACTTTTATTAATATTATTAAATATTAAATATAGTTGTAAAAGGAAATGGAGAGTGAAGCTAAAGTATAAATTTAACAGATTCGATGGGTTGAAAAATATGTAATTGATAATATGTATTTTTTGATAATGGTAATTTTTACTCAACATTTTTATATACCCACTTTTAAGTATTGCGGTTAGTAGAAGTTGTGTGATGTGCGCACTGCGGTATATTTTTAATAGTTATAAGGTTTGTGAAAATGATGATTGCTCGATTTCATCTAATTTTTTTTTTTCAGGTATGTACTTCCAATCAACATCTATCGCATTAAAAACAGGTCAATTGCCGACTCAGGTAAGTAATTAATTTCCTATTAATCAGACCCCATTCAACAGGTTGGAATATCGGGTAATTTTCAAGGTTTTAAATGAACTGATATGAAACCGATTCCAACTGGTTTTCACTCCCTGTGAAAACATTGGTGGTACCGATAAGGGAGTTTTCACTCTTTATTGCCGACGGTTCTGAAATGCCACATGAGTTGTGAGTACGCTTAACTCCTTAAATTTGTAATTCAAATTGTATGACTGGCGCGAGATTGTTATAAATATACGAGTAATTGTGTAATAGCTTGACTGTTAGTAATTTCCCTGTTGAATCTGAACTGGGTTTAAATTTAGAATGTCGGTATAATGTATAACACTGTTTCAACTTATTGATGAAGCATTGTGAACTAAATTTAATGGTTATGATTAAATAACCTACTATTTATTTATCTATCACCTTTACATTGATAGCGTGGAATTTCTCATTAAACCTATTAAACCCTAAATAATTTTTACCGTTGATTAAAACCAACATTTTACTTTTTAATAGGAAAACAATATCCTGCTAAATGGAAGATATTTTTATTAAAAAAATATAATTCGCGAACACCAAGTAAGATTCAGAACAGGCTAAAGTACCAGATCTTCAACTAAAATTTGTGCTAAAAAATATATGGAACGTAGGTCAGGATGTGCACGGGTTTTTTTAGTAGATTTAAAAGCAGCCTCTGATTTTGTGGAACTTACCTGTTTTCACCGTTGAATTAAAAACCAACATTTTAACTAGGAAAACAATATCCTACTAAACTAAAGATATTTTTATTATGAAAATGTGATTAGCAAACACCAAGTGAGATTCAGAAAAGGGCAGAGTACACTAGACCAAATCTTCATCTAAACTTCATCCGTCTTTGGATGATCAAGACAAAGCTGAAAGTTTCCAGGAACTTGTTGAATGCTTATTGAATTCTACTAAATTTTGCTATGTCCGTAGGTTTGAGTCAGTGAATTGAAAATCTTGGAGGAGTTGGAACAGTGTTATGTAAAAAGAGGTGTGCACGTTGAAAAGAATAATAAAATCATAGGATATGCAGAAGGTATTATAGTTCTCGCTAAGCGATCAAGAGAACTTTCTCCATTTTCTTTGGATTGCTACTACTTGCTCGCCAAGAAAAGAATAAAACAATAGAATTAGAGTCAAAACGGTCTGTAGAAAAATCGGTCTGCAATCTAATAAATATAAAAAAAGGTATATCCAAACAAATCCATCCCAGAAAAATGTTCTCGAAAGTAAAGAAAAAAATACCTCGATCCCACAATATCTCAATATATGACAAACTATCAGTGACGGGTTGATGAATAAAAAGCGCAAATATAACTTTCTCTTTCTGAGGTGTATTTGTAGGTTCGAAAAATGTCTATAAATCACTAATAATGGATTTAAAATGCTATAGTGAATTTAGTTCTGATGTACGGCTGTAGGATTTGGACTTCGAAAGAATAATTAAAAGATTTGAAAGTAGAGTCCGAACTAAAATTTAACTATTTATGGCTAGTTAGTAAGAAATTGAAATCCAGGTGGAGAAATAGACGGCAGAGGTATGCGCAGCAAAATAGAAAGAAATCACCCAGAAGATAAGTTGTTGTGGAAAAGATAAAAAAACAAAACAAAAAAAAACCTGAAACATGATTATAGTGTTTGTCGTTAAAGATGTTATAATATTAATTAACTTTTAAAGATAATAACTTACAAGCCTCAAAAGCATTTTGGGGTATATACAAATGGTGTAATATAAAGTTGTCCATTCATGAATAAATCAGTGATTTATTATATTTCCTTCGTAGGTAGACATCTGTTATTTTTTTTGTTTGCGAATGGTTTTCGTGATAAAGAGCATTGATATAAATTGCAGTTTCAAATTCTCGCAATTATCTTTGGATAACTAATATACGTAATAATTTCTACAACTTGGGAAAAATGCTAATTGCATTGTTTTATACCTTTGCAAATATTTATCGATCAAAGATTGGTGAACCAAAAATATATTATAAGATCAGCGAATAAGGCTAATCTGGTCCTCTCCAACTGATATCAAGCAAAGAAAGCTTTACGAAAGCCTGGAGGACAGCTGAACATATTTATACACACAATACAAAGAAATTATAAATTATTATGAATGAGATGTATTTTATAGGTATACTAAATAAAAGTATACCTATTGGATATACTTTAAATATGAAGAACAGGCTATGCTATTTTTTTCTCCCTCTAAATAAGACGTTTTGAATAATCCCTCTTGAAAGATGGTGGTCTATTTTGAGGCTAGCAGTGAACGACGCCAAACATGCGAGGCGCCCCAAGGATTTCCCTTTTTTCCTCCAATAACATAAAAACTCGAAAGGAGAAGCGGCTGTAGGCGGTTACCCTGAGCAACTATTTCGGAAGCCGTCTTGGCTGATGTTCAGCCAGCTTCCCGTCTACCGATGACACCCCGAGCCAGGATATCCTCGCCTACGTCTTGCTAAGGCATCATCGAGATCGTCAATGGGTATTCTAGGTCTGAGGGCGTTGCTTCGTATGTTGTCACGATCGCATATTGTGTAATAGAAATTGCAAGATATTCTCCTTAATTCTATACCATCACAAATTTAATAATAATGCGATTTTATTTCAATCTATAGTGCTATGTTCCTCCATATCTCGTTTTACGGCGTGTAGGGGGTTCCAGGAACCGCATCCTGGATCTATTGTATTTAATATTTATATTTATAATTATTTCAGCTCCAAAAGGGAACCGATCTACTTAAAAATATATGAATTGTGTATTCAAAGGTTAGATACCACAGACCTCCTACTATAGTATCCTCGATTGAATAATTTCATTTTCATTGGATAGCTTTTCGAAAGGTGTCATGTTTAAAAATTCACTATTTTTATTTTCATCTAAATGGCACCAATATGTAAGGTAGATTATTAAAATGTCAAGAGTGAATAATAATCAATCTATTTATAAATTTAAATAAAAAAAAACATATATGTACAATTGGAGAATCATATTAGGAGAATGCTAGTGAGAATATGACTGATTGAAGTTACTAATGGGTTAGTGATTCTATTATTGTTATTTACTGCCAGCACAAGTTTACATAGTTACTGTCTGAATGGGTATTATGACTTATCTGTGGTTACTGCCAGCTGTTGGTTTGCTTCATTGGTTTCTTCTTTCCCTGGACCATCTCCGAGGAAGCCTCTACGTCCGATTCTCCCGGACTCCTTTGCCCGTCTCCTGTCCCAGACTGACTCCTTCAACTGTCTGTTGTCCCATGCTGACTATTTTCATCTCTCACAGGATCTTTTGCCGGCTTTTGTACTGGTCATCATTATCTTTACGGTCCCATTAGACGTCCGCGTCCTTCCACGGATCTTACCTGCCCTTAAATACTTGACGTCCATTTTTGTAAGTTCATTTCTATGAAATATTTTAAATGTCTTTTAATTCGGGCCTTTTAGGATCAATCTGAATAGATATTTGTTTTATTTCTATTTTGTTTGTCACAAATCCAGGGTCATGTCAAAATGTTCCCATTATTTTTCCCGATAGACCTCTGTAATTTGGATAATTTAGGAATCAACAAATATACTTCTGATGTCCTCAAGTAATATCACAAAAAAATATATTAAGCAGCCATCTTTTATTGATGTAATCGGCATTGATGACGTTTCACTGCATTATTCCTATATAAATACTTCTGGACTTTGTTTTTTACATCTAACTCGCAACTGATTTGCATTGCTTATTGAATATTGTTTTTGTCATTCATCCTTTCATAACTCTTTCAGCTAACAACAAATTAATATTAATTAAATCGTTTAGAATTAAATGGATCATTTTTTATTTCAGTTTTTGTAATTTTACATTATACATAACATATGCAGTTAGGATATAATATGTTGAATTAAAAATAAATTAAGTGGACAACTTGTACACCTATTGCTCTACGTACATATTCTCTGATTTTTGGAACTTAGTCTATAATTCTCGTTCTATTCTATTCTAAAATTGGCTCGGGATTCATATCGATGGCATCATGTTAAAGTAACGAATGCGCAACGTTAATCGGGCTCTTTAATATGGTGCCGACGATATTATGGTTCAAATTCTTTTTCCATTACGGATAATTGATATAACGAAGTAAGAGAGGTGGCTGCTAGAAATACTCCATCTCGTCCATTATTCCTGTGGTACTCGAAGATCCAAGTAAGACGAAGATGTAAACAAGGAGGTTTTCAACTTTGCAAACTAGAAGCAATCAAACTAATCTTACATAAAGTTAAATGATCTCTTCTCAACTTCTATCTAGCCATGAATACATCGTTGTTTTACTTGCTATCAAACTTATACTTAACTTGAAAACTTCGCTTAGCTAATTGGCCTACTGTGTGGTAAGTTTGTATTGCGCGTATCCAATGGTTTGTTTATGTTTTCCTCTCAGCCCCTTAAAGTTACCAATTCGATGTAAAAACATAATATTATAATTTTGTGGACTTTAAAATTGCCAATTATTCCTGCAAACGTGCTCTGAAATGTTTCCTTTCAAACACCTGCTGCTGTAATCCATCTAATTTTATGGAACCCAAAATCTTTTTTGATCAAAATAGTCAGTATGAGTTACTTATTTGTTTCCCTTTTCTGAAAGAAGACCTTATCTTAAGTAACGGACTTATCTTAAGTTGACCGCTTTCTAAGGTGCTGAAGATAACTTTAATTTTTCGATGCAAGAGAGTCGAATAAAATATATTTCATATGAGTTATTGCAATTGTTACAATATATTTTAGATAAAACTTTAAAAGCTTGATAAAGTTTTAATCGGTAATGAACTCTTCGCCTTACTTATAGAAAATTCAAAAATATCGTCTATCATCAGGATTGGATTGAATTTACTTGGAAGAACTACGATTTTTGTCCCTTCTCTCCCCCTCAATAAAAGTTAATTATGATCTAATTACATCATATCCATGGGATGAACTATAATGATCCATAGTCGTAGTTTCCATAGTCCATATTATAAAAAAGTGCCCTATTACATCCCTCTGTTTCAGCCCCTATCTAGGAATTCTATTTTAGAACGTAACATACCTGAATAATATGATAATTAATAGGGTAAAAATAAAATAAAATACCAAACAATCAGAAACCAAATCAAGAGAATAACTTAACATATTGGAAATTTCCTCAATAAATTGTTGCATTAGTGTTCATAAAAAATTGGTTGTTTGGACAAAAAAAAAAAAAAAAAAAAAAAAAAAAAAAAAAAAAAAAAAAAAAAAAAAAAAAAAAAAAAAAAAAAAAAAAACAGAACCATTTATCCCAGTTCCATGCATTCAGATATTGCTGAAATTCTAACAACATGGTCTGAATCAACAGATGCATAGGGATGGATTTTTAAAATATCGATTAATTTGCAAAAAGTCGTCCGAAAAATGATCAACTTTAATCAATTTTTGCAACACTGTTTCGAAAGATTCCTGTTTTCGTGTCAGGATTGTTGTCTGAGAGGATGGTTTTTGCTAGTTTTATTTATGGCATACTTCTCCAACGTTTTATTTTCACCTTTGGCTTTCATCGTTGTGTCGGATACATGACCAAAAGCAAAAGAAATGCAACCTTTGTATTATTCCAGATAAAGACCCCATGAAAGTGGTCGTATCATATGTAGGTTTCCCTATGACCGCCTAGCACAGTTGTCAAGAGGCTGTCGACCAACAACTGATAACATCCTTGTCCTTGACCGGCTCCCGAATCAATAATTGTAATAATTTTTAACGGACGAAGAGCTTCATTAAATAAGGATACAATTCGTGTAAAAAAAAAAAAACTATTTCAATTGAGTCCATTACAGGATGAAATATGGTTCTTAAACTTGATCTTAATTCCTACAAGAAATTTATAGTATGAAACATCGCATTGATATTTTATACATACTTAATTGATCCTGATTTTTCCTTTTTTAATAAATAGATACATAGAAAATAATTTTATTCTGGGACAAAGTTCCTTTAAAATAACAAAATTGTACAAAATTAAAATTTATATCGGCCTAAATAAAAACAAAAAGAAAGTGAAAAGAGTAAAGAAACATTAGTTGAACTTGCTGTATAAAAAACACTTAAAACTATTTACAATGGTAAAACATTATAAATATATACTTTTAAGAAAAAAATACATTAAATTCTTCTTTAAAATAAACTCTTCTGTTTATCTGTTTATTTCTGTGTTTCTGCAAAGAAAAAAGAAAGCCGAATCTAACAGCATAAAGTGCCTGACTATTTAAATGATGAAGAATATGTGAATTCATCATAATCATTCCTTGACTTTTTAAATTTAATTATATATAAAATAAAAATATTAGTAAAAACCAACAATAGATGCATTCAGTGGCATTTAGACTAGAAAAATCTTGTAATATCCTCAGCAAAGAATACTACTAAAATTTGATGATGAATGACATGAAATAAATGTACAATGCCAAAAGGTTAGAATGTATCTGACTGTTTTGGGACAAGAATTGGAATAGCAGGATTTTGAATGTAGATATGGAGGAGGAATACCGAATTTTGATAAGGAGAGAATTATAGAAATTGACATCTAGCAATAAAAGAGTTTTGGAATGAGGCATATCTGAGAAGGGATGTAAAGGTCAGAAGGTCGAGATCTTTTAGAAAGAGAATGGTCCTCAGCCGTGAATTGTGGAATGATGTTGCCGTAAAAAGGTCGATGATTAGATAGAGTACATAGGAAACATTGACATAATACAAATAAATATTGACGCAAAAAATACATTAATTGACCCAACTAGTTACCCTTTCTTCGTAACCTTTCATCTCAATCTAATTTCGACGACCTAATTCGTCAAAAAATTAAATGGGGAAGACTTCCTAGAAATAACTACAATAAAATGGAACTGCTGCTAAATCACACAGCTTACTCATCAGTTCAACAGACTTTCTTTAAAAAAAAATTATGAGTTAGGAAGTACCTTTCTAATAGATATCCAATGTTAAGAATCTATTTTCTCTATCTGTAAATATAATGGAAAGTACATAGGACATTCTAATTGCTGTTTAAATCGCATTTTGGGCAAATTTTTCACAATCATAGAAATTTTCATAAACTTCCTTTTTTTTTAAAATTATTTTTTTTATATGTCTCATAAAAAAGTCTTGTGGAATTTCCTAATCTTCAGGACAAACATCTACTAATTCATGTTGTCCTAATCATATCCTCAAACTTTCTAAAAAAAAAAATTTTTTCGATCTTAATATATGGCCTTCACCAACCATATTTACTAGGGAATTTAATGTATCGAAATAGTTTTGATAAAGTTATTGGATGAAAATTTAAGTAAAGGGAATTTAATATAATTCTTTATCTAATTTAAAAAAATGTACTTGCCTGTTTTGGAAAACGTTAATATTTAATTATATATTTTTTTTTGCTGATTTTTATTTCTTCCATTGTCATAATCTTCTTTTTATCCAGAGTCCTTAGGTTATCTTGAGTTTTCTTTTGCTGAATGCAGTCCTGTGGTATCTTCTGCCTCTCCATCTGGTTTTAGACCTCACATGGTCCTTTGCCAAGTTTCATTCATGTTGTGTTGAGACCTGAAGGATAGCTATAGTATGACTAGTTAAGGGTATGCGTGCGTTCATCCGCGGATGTGTGTTTACCAACTAACGAGTATTCTTTAGAAATACCAATTTTGTTTTTCATCTCGTTCCCCTTTACGGCTCTTCCATGTCACGTCTAAAAATATCATGATTAAGTACTGGATCATTCAAAATAAATGCCTAACTAATGTTTTGTTGTGCTGATTTTTTTTCTTTGTGAGCTTTATCTTCTTCATGCCTTACACGAATGTAAGATGAATACTAAATTTACAAAACATTATAATTATTAACAAATACAACAGATTAAGTGCAAATACTAAAAACTATAAACATAAATTAAAAAATTTGACAGGCAACACCAACACTAAATATTTGCTGCAAATCTTTAGAAATTTTGATATAATCAAATTCAGATCTTATCCGCAAGTCTTAATTTTATTATTATTTACATGTTATTATTTGTTTAATATAATTGTTCGCCTTTTGAATTCGACTCACTATTAAATATTTTAGTCATTATTAAATATTTTAGAGAAAATATTCAGTGTACCTTAGTAGGATCATAAAATTTAATTGTTTATGAAATTCTTTCGTTTTTATTTGATAATAAACTTTTATTGAGTCTTCTACCATCCATGATTCATGATATTTTCTGTAGAATTTACTATCAT